CTTGACCATACTAAACATAATGGAATGGCAAAAATCACAATCATCAAATACAGGAGACAAATCATCGCAGTGTCATGTTTCCAAACGTCATCTTTCGCATTAATCAGTTACAGGTGAGTCGTCCAGGACTAGCTAGAATTACACCACTATGCTTCCGTCGCCATCCCATTCATTTCATATCTATACGATCACGAGATCGCAATAGCCATCTTAGTCATTTTATACAGGATGCCGCCGCGGCAGATCCAGTGATAGGCCCCAGGCCGAGACCTCGTTAAACCCAACGAGGACGCCCAACTAAACTCCCCGAACGCCATTCCCGTCTGTGTCTGACAATGCCCCCCCAATGATCAAGCCGCAAAATGAAGGAGATAATATGCTGAAGAGAAAAATGCTACGCCGCGGAATTGCTCGCAGTACCTCTTAGTCTATGGTAGAATGCCATGCGAAAGGGAGGCGATGAACTTCGTCGTTATCGAAGCTCAATATACACAGCAAGGAAGAGTTGTGATGTATTTATGAATGAAAAAAAGAGAGGGGGTATCATAAGAGAAAGCAGTAACGAGCTTCACATTGAAGCAGACAACGACGTGTTTAAAAGTCGTCATCGAATGTGAAGTCGCCACCGTTCTCGCCCTTGACCTCAGGAGACTCTGAGGCATTCTCGGTAGAGTTGTTCTTCTTAGTGCTGGCCATGACACCGGCCTTCTGGTATTCACCGACGCGCTTCTCGAAGAAGTTCGTCTTGCCACCGAGAGAGATGTTCTCCATGAAGTCGAAGGGGTTGGTGGCGCGGTAGACCTTCTCGTTGCCCAGAGCCAGAAGGAGACGGTCGGCCACGAACTCAATGTACTGCTTCATGAGGTTGGCGTTCATGCCGAGAAGAGCGCAAGGCAGGGCCTCGGTCAAAAACTCTTGCTCAATCTTGACAGCGTCGACGATGACGGCTTCAACGACCTCCTTGCTAGGTCGGTTCTTCAAGTGAGAGAACAGCAGGCAGGCGAAGTCGGTATGAAGGCCCTCGTCACGGGAGATGAGCTCGTTGGAGAAGGTAAGACCGGGCATTAAGCCACGCTTCTTGAGCCAGAAGATGGAAGCAAAAGCACCGCTGAAGAAGATACCTTCGACAGCAGCGAAAGCAATGAGACGCTGGGCAAAAGTGGAGTTGCGGTCGGCGATCCACTTCAAAGCCCAGTCGGCCTTCTTGCGAATGGCGGGAACTAGAAATAAGGTTAGCTTATGCCGTTATACGAAACTCAATGGATAGTCATACTGGTGTCAATGGCATTAAACAAGAAGGTCTTCTGGGCGGGCTCCTTGATGTAAGTGTCAATGAGCAGAGAGTATGTCTCGGAGTGAATATTCTCCATCATGATCTGGAAACCGTAGAAGCATCGAGCCTCAGGGATCTGAACCTCGCCACTGAAACGCTCGACAAGGTTCTCGTTCACGATACCATCCGAGGCAGCAAAGAAAGCCAAGATGTGGGAGACAAAGTATCTTTCATCGTCGTTGAGTCTGTTGTTCCAGTCGTGCATGTCCTTAGACAGATCGATCTCTTCGGCAGTCCAAAAGGAGGCTTCGGCTTTCTTGTACATTTGCCAGATCTATATTAAGATGCGTGGTTAGCCCCATGTCGCGTCGAAAATCCACTTAACGCGTAAAGAGACGCGTCACTCACCTCATGGTACTTAATGGGAAATAGGACGAATCGCTGTGGATTCTCTTGCAAGAGGGGCTCATCAGCCTCCTCTGGCTTAATGGTGGGAGCCACAGTAGGCTTAGGAGCTTCCTCAGGTGCCTCTACTTTTGTGGGCTTGTGGGAATCGATCTGGTTGGCAAGAGTGTGGACCTCGGAGTCGAAAGGGGCGTTTTCCTTGCTGGCAGCGGTGAAATCTAGCTTCTTGATGGGTGATTCCATCTTGAGGGACTCAATGGCAGAGGCAGCCTATGAATTGGTGCGTTAGTTACCAGGGAAACCAAGCGGGTTCTTTGAGAAAAGGAGACAAGGTTATGTACCTTCTTGGAGGGAGTGATCTCTGTGGCCATTGTGTAAGGTATATGATCAACAAGGTTAAACCGGTGATGAAGATGCAGAAGATTAATACCAATTGGGAATTGAGTTAATCTAGAAGGAGGGTTATTGCACGCGTAAAGTGGTTTGGGTGGAAGTGGTTGATCGAGATGATGCAGAAAAGAAGCGTGTTCTGGGAAGCCAAAGCTTTTAAACACCCTTTCGCGCCAAATCACGTGTGCTGGATCACCCACTTTGCAATGGTAGAGACAATGTTGCACAATGGCAAGACGCGCTACAGTGGGATGCCCCACCCCCTGCACCGCGTTTTAGTGCCCCGCCACTCCATTTTCACGCGTTAACAGGGATAGCAGCTCCAGCCTCGCACTAGCCCTTACTGCATCTGTAAGTTGTGTGTCACCAAAATCCTCGGCCTTTCGGTTGTTTGACAAGTCTAGGGAATGGGTCAGCATTATCAGATCCGGTTATCAATCCACAAAGATCGCAAATTAGATTAGGCCGGCCACTTCTTTCCTTAATTTGGATCTAAGCAAGCTCGCTTGGCGCGTCTTCTATCTATGACGCGCCTTGTACATACGTACAATTCTCTGCACAGTACCGTAATTATTCTACCTATTCTGTATGTATAATCTATTACCTACTACAGAGTAAAACCACTCATTCAGCTAGGTTGCAGTTAATAGCTATTCAATGATGTACATGTCAATTGTATCAAGGGGCAAGTGCTATGTTTCAATTTGTGATCTATTACAATATTATTTGTTGCACATCTGATATTTGTGTCTTACGCAACATGTTTTGAGACCCATTCAGCCCGAAACTAATCTGGGTAATCTCTGCCAAGCGAAAATCGAAAACCAATAATGTATCTTCATCCCATGGGACTAAATACATCTGTTTGCTCAATCGCCACAGCCCTACACGCTAAACCCAGGCAAGGTCCTTCCAGCCTGCGCCGCTACCACGGGGTGGTTAGTCAAGATTATTAAAGCAAATTCTAATGACGCAGCCCTTGATAGTTAACATTCCCACTAACCCCGCCTACTTTGGTCGGGAAGGGCAATCCCTGCCTCAACATCAGCCGACCTCGACTTCTTCCGACCAAATCCGAAGAAACCTCCATTGGATCTCCTCTGTCGACCATCGTGGGTCGCTGCCGGCGCCGGTTGCGATGGGGGAGATTGCACGGATGCAACACCACTTGTTTGGGGAGGATGCTGACTCGGCGATGTGGTGATGTGTTCTCCGTCCACACGAGAAGGGCGCGAGGTACCAGGTGACTCGCTGTGAAGACGATCGAACTCGACGGGATCGCTGGGGTCGGTAGCGGGTATAGGCTGGCCGCTAGAGCGGAGATTCTTCCTACCCTTTTCCCGAAGATACTTCTCCAAAGCAGTCGCGTTTCGTGTGTTGGCAAGGACGAGAGCATCGCCAATGTCACCGACGAAAGGGATCAATCCAATAACCAAATCTATGAGGAGCCAGAAGTACATTGTGAGACGAAGCCCGGAGGGTAAACCGCCTTCGACCTGCTGGGCTGTGCGGATGACGAGAAGTCCTAGGAATGCGTCCGCAAAATCTCCAACACTAAAGATGGAAAACACAGTTAGTCTGTGAAGAATGAAGCATGCTAACTGGATTACTCACAAAGGGAAAATAGCGATGAGGCTACCCCAACCAAACTTGATACCGAGAAAACTGCCGAAAGCCATGTCTAGCCGGTAAGCCCGTCTCTTCACTTTGGTGAGTACCTCTGCATCGTGGGCAGACAGGCCAGGCGGCACAGCTTTGCGAACTTTCTTGAATTTCCCATTCGGCGTGCCATCAAGTCTTGTTGCCGGAACTTGTTCAAAGTAGGGATCCTAGGCAGCGCATTAGTCTTTGAACCCACGAGTATAGTATAATCATAGCAACCATGCGCCCAGCGTTAGGTGCGATCATTGTGGCAAGATTGAGTACTTACCTCAGCGCCAAACTTATTCTCAAGTCTCTCTTTAAGAATCTTGTCTTGAATAAGTTTTCCCCCAATCCACTTGGCAATATAACTCCCCATGATGGATGGATGTGCAACGCAGCAGTGTTGTGAGGAGCTGTGATGAGACAGGGAAATGTTGTTTTGGGGTAGGTATATTAAAATGAGTGCAGATGGGAAACTGCAAGCCGTCCACTCAATGTCTAGGGGTTTCAGATTGCACCAAGCAGAGGCCGGTAAAGGGAAGGACCGTTTCTTAAATGCTAAACCTTTGATGTATCAGGAGGCCTGCCTAAAGGCGATTAGATACATACCTAAAGTAATTACTTCATCACATGTAAGGGTACCTCACTAACACCCAACACAATAAATTGTCCAACTCCCAAAGCTTGGAAGTGACCTATGTAAGTACACTATGATGTCAGCAACCTGTTTACAGACCCCGCCCTTGCAGGTAGGGTAGGTATTACCTACGTGAAGAATGTGGCTGTGCTGTGGCTTAAACTACCATTCCCCTCCCAAGTACCATAATGTGGGTGGGTATTCAGTACGTCCCGATAACAACCGGGAGAGAAAAAAATGAAATGAAAAACCAGTCTGCTTTTTGTACAGCATATTGATTGCATTAGCCCAGGCTGCCTCTAGTTAGCCATGCAAAATATTAGATTTGCACCACAGCCAGCTAGTCGCGTGGTGGCGTAGAGTTCACTACGTATAGCTCCCAAAGACAAGAATGTATCTTCCAATAATTGCCCCTATCAAATGCCACTACCAAAGTACTATTAAACTAGTAGGTACCTACCATGCCCTATCAGATCTCTCAATTAAGCATACAAACCTCAACCTTACTCTTCCTACAACTCTACCTCCCACCTATCAACAACTTACCAGGGCCTCGGAACCTAAAGTGGCCCCGCCTATACGCCACGCCCTATATCAGTGCCGAACAAACGCCGCTTTCCATCAACAAGCGCTAACAAGCTTCGTCTAACAAGTCGTATGGTCTAATGGTTATGATTTCTCGTTCACATTACATGTGTACTTTGTCCCGAGAAGGTTCCGTGTTCGATCCACGGTACGACTATAATTTTGCCCAACTTATTAAGCCTTGTACCGTCTATCATGTGGTAGCATCGTTGTTTTTTTGTGCTAGTTTGCACTAGGTAATAGTTTGTTCTCAGAGGTTTCAATCCTCACTGCACACTCTTCATAGTCCCCAGTTATCCACGTCTGCCATGAGACTATTGTTCTTAACCCCCTCTGGAAAGTCTTCCTCGCCAAGATGAGTGGTATGTGCCCACGGCTTCAAGCTATTCTCTTCCCTAATGGTCTTGGAAAAGCAACCGCTCCAGCCCTTACGCGGGAATGCCCGGTTGACATCCAGCCGGGTCGCTTCGTCTATTAGCCCCGGATTGCCACCCATGTTGTCGTATATCGTGGCGAGCTGGATCACCTGTCCCAGGAACGAAATGGTTCCCACTGTACCAAGATCCTGGTGTCGGATGATAGCCTCGGCGACAGCTTCCGCCTGTGCTGTTGATGCGCCGTGTTTCTTGGTCAAGTTCAGGGCGAGAATGCCGCCGTAAAACTCAAATGACAGTAGCGTTGCGCGCAGATTATCATGCGTCGTCCCGATGTCGTGGAGAAGGCAGGTTAATGCCCACGTAGATAGAGATAGTCTACTGCCCTGCTCCGGGAATTGGTCCTTGATGATTGAATAGCCTGAGTGTGTAAGTATACAGATATTCCCGCATAGGCATGTTGCTAACGAGAATACATACCCCAGTGGTAGACGCGCATAGAATGATTATACGTCTGTTCCAGTAGATGCTCCTTCGCATATTGTTGCACCTCGGCTACTACAGGATCATTGACCGGAAACTGCATATCCGCAACTTTCCAAGCGGATGGTTTAACTATGGGGTTTTTGGCAAAGATGACATTTGCATCGCAGGGCACGGCCGACCATCCATGCTTGACAATATCGTCTGCTGAAGCAGCTGGTGTAGTAGAAGACATGATTGATCCCTTGTTGCGCAATAAGAAGACTGTTTTTAATCGGCTCCAATGCCCAGCGTACTACTGCAAAACACAGGCTTTCGCTTGCTCCTTATATGCATTTCCTGTTAGCGACTCCCTCACGATGACGCCCATATCATGGCATTATCAAAGTGCCTACTATTGGTAAGCATAGCGGCGATTTTTAAAAAGAATGGTAGACCCCCGCGGTGTTTGATGTCGCCAGACCCCGAAACTCGGATTTTCGCGATTCGTGCAGCAGGTGTCTATATGTCTAACTTTGTCTTCCCTTAAACGACTACCAGAAGTGCTGCTCGATCCAAGTCCCCACCTAGATAATTAGTCTCGTCGCTGCATCTCCGACTTTGGTTTCTCCGCGCAAACCGTAAGCAGCAATTGTATCAAAGCAATTGACAACACTTCCCTTTTTATCATATTACTATACACAAATAGTACGAGTGAGTAAACTCCATTTCTGTCTGTCTTTCAATTCCACTCCGGAATTTCGGGTTCATTCACTTGTGTGGGATGAGGCACTGAAGCTAGTTGGGCAGGACCTATGATGAAAGCTCTACCAATTCCCTCAGTAGGTAGACTAGTATTTCAATAACCCGGACTTTCACCAGAAAGATTTATGGGAAGCTATCGAGGACGGCGCGTATCCGAAGTGCAAATTTGGTATTCAGACCATCCCAAACCCACGGAGATTGATTTTGATTTCAACGTCTAGCCCGATGACCATCTAGAGGGCATGCGCTTTACCATGTCCGATGCGATTTTCTTACCAGGGGCTGCCGTCTCAATCGGAGCGCTTTAGAAGAGCGGCCGAGCCGTCTACCAGCTCTGTGAGGCCTAAGACCATCTGAAGGCGATTGGGGCAACCGGGGAGGGGGTGCAATTACTTGCTCGAGGGTTCGCACTGCCAGCCGTCGAGATGTCTATCAATCACAAAAGGGTCGAATCTTACGGTGTAGTGGTGATTCGTAAAATCTCTCTCGATAGCTTGAGAGGCTATGACGATCGTGAAGGCGGGCACCAGGTTCTTGCACTAGATTTGGTACCAAATCTCGCAGCATAGGAATTTCGCTAGAGAGATGGATGGTTCGAGTTCACAGATGCCACATTAATGAGATTAAGTCGTATCGATATTAATTCGCTGCAAAGCGAGCTTAGGGGATATTTATGTTAATTCACAAGAAAAAGATTTGGTCCACGTCATATAATCTCACTTACTTTCTCTAATTAGTCTTAAGACGGAGAGGATGTGATTCATTGATTATACTACACATACCTCGGCCATTTGCGACGTTGCTAAACACACTGATTTCGGGTTCTCGAACTATAAAGAATATACTTCTGTTCGCTATAGGAAGTCATACAAAAAACATGTTACTATATTAGCCCGGATAGTATCTACCGGGACGGACCGCGACTCCATTCTCCAACTCCGCGTTCGTGGGCTTCCCCTCATGTAAGACAGTAAGCGGTATATAGGGCGGGAAACTGGTCTACCCATGTTCCGTATTTCAAATATCGTAGACGAGAAGCACAGCGCCGGGATCGCCAAGCTCGCTCTTGTCCATCCACGCGTGCCGTGCTCAACCATTGTGTTATGTTTCTAGAAGTTGGGTGCTTGAGCTCCGGCATCCTCGTCCCGTCTCACGCTTTTTACGACATGTATTTGATTGAGTGATAGTTTCTTCTTCGCTCCTTTTTACTTGGTGGAGATTCGTGATACTTTCCCTAGATATTTCCCTTCTTTATAGTTTTACCTCGTAATTTAGTGTATTCGTTACCCCGAACACATTTCGATCGGACCCCCATATTGCTGACAGGATGAAGGCCGGACAGTGGGATCCCGTAAGCTCTCCGAACACCCGCTCGGCTTGGCCGTTTAAGTCGCTTGCTGCAAGAGTCAACTCAATTCAAAAATAAAAAAGATTGACATCTTCTGCTTCTCATAGCAAAATAAAAAGGTCGTTATCAACGACATACCGACGCCAGAGCCGGAGAAGGACCAATTGCTGGTGAAGATCAAGTCGGCGTCGCTATGCCACTCCGACCTGATGGGCCTGGCTCGGGACCACGGGGAGACGGTGACCATGGGCCACGAGGGCTCGGGCATCATCGAGAAGATCCACCCCTCGGCTGAGGGAAAGGGGTTTAAGGTCGGCGACGCCATCGGCTTCAACTACTTCATCAACGTCTGCTACGAGTGCGACGGCTGCCAGATCCATAACCAGCGCTGCGAGAACACCGACCTGCCTATGTGCCAGGGCTTCCACGTCAACGGCTTCTTCCAAGAGTATGTCATTGTGGACTACCACACTGCCGTCGTCCTGCCTCCGGAGATCGATGTTAGGCGTGCGTCGCCGTTATTTTGTGCGGGGATTACAGGTAAGATGTTGCACTGCATTGCCTCCGCATCTCTGCCGGGATCGTTTCTCCGGGGCTCATCGACCCTATTTCCTCATTGTTAGGATTTCTAGGTAACTGATCTTTTTTTCAACGTAGCTTTTAATGCCATCGACAGCTGCGAGCTGCAGCCCGGTCAATGGGTGGCCATCGTGGGCTGCGGCGGGCTGGGCCAGTACGGAGTGCAGTACGCGAAGGCCATGGGGTGTAACGTGATCGGCGTCGACATCAGCGACGACTCGCTGCACTCGGCAACGGAGTACGGCGCAGACGCAGTCTTCAACTCGCGGACACAAGCCGACACGTACGCGGAGGAGATCAGAAAGCTAAGTGGCAAGGGCGTGCATGCAGCAGCAGTTTTCTCGGGCGCCATCGCGGCGTACGATGGTGCCATCCCCCTTTTGCGCACCAATGGCCTGCTCATGATCGTCGGTATTGCGATGGAGCCCCTGAAGGTCAACACGCTAGATCTGATCACCGGGAGGTACCGCATCAAGGCCGACAGCACCGGCGTCCCGCAGCGCATGGCTAAGGCGGTCGCATTCACTGCGAAGCATAATATCCAGCCTAATGTTGACTTTAGAAAAATTGAGGACTTGCCTGCGATGGTGGATGATATGAGGAATGGTAAGGCGAAGTGTCGCCAGGTTGTTACATTTGATTAGTATCCTGTGCATTTGTTTTGGTCCTTGCTGAAAAGGGCTAGGAGTTAAAGGAAGACGACCATGTTGCGTTAGAAGCGATGAATTTACATCTTGTTGGATGTGCAGGAAAGTGTCATGTTGTATACCGTGAAACTGAGACATATGGGTTCCGAACTGAAGTTGTGGCTGATGTCTTTGAGAGAGTGCTGGTTGGACCCTATATAGTGGTCTGTTCGAATCACATTATCTACTTGCTGAGTACAATAGGGGGCATGACCTCAGTTTGAGTCCATATATTTGTTTGCCTCTTATCATAAAGTACTCCTACCCCAATAGCCTGACAATCAATCTAGGTCCCATCACTCCTAGTGATTACGCCTCTCCTGGGATGGTGGATGTTAGAGAGTGACCAATGTTGTATATAATTGTTGAAGCGTTGGTATAGAAACTTTTAGAACTAGGGGTTTCCGTAGACACGTGTTAGATGACACCGTAATGGACATACGGAATCCAAAACCAGTTCCTGTCGTCGTCGCTCTCATCATCCGAATCCACTGCCTTGATAGCTCTGGCGGGTTTTGCTCTACGGATTTCGGCATCGCGTAGTGCCAACTGGGCCCGGTGCAATCCCCTACATACTGCTCTATTCGTCAGCCCTTCGTCACGTAAGGTTTGATATACAACACGCGCTACGTCAACACAATGCTTGTCTGAAACCTCCCAAAGTGTGCCGACAACGTTCTGGAAACCGGCCAACTGTAAGGCGCCGATTAAATGGATGCCCTCGTCTTGTAGTCCAGCTGCCTTGTTAGCCCCTGTTGAGCAAGCGGAGAGGTATCCTAGAAATGGAGGGTCTTTTTGGAATCTACAGTCACGGAGATCGCCAACGGTCAGTGGATCCGTCTGCCAGTCCTCAAGTAACAGGCAGCTTTTGGATGGCTCGTGAGGGTTTGAGCTTCCATGGCCCGCAAAGTGGAAGATCTTGGTCGAAGGCATCCGTTCTAGA